CCTGATCCACGACCCATGATCCTTCCCACTTGCCTTTATTTTATTTTTTCCATTTATTTTTATTTTTATTTCAATTAAATAAAAAAAATCATGAAAATATCGAAATCATTTAAACCTTGAGATTTTGTGCATATTTCAGGTCCATGAATAGCTGGCAATGAGATCAAATCGTGCAAGGCTTGTTTGTACACAAAAAGATTGAATTTTTATTATTTTGGAAAGATTGGATACAAGTGTGAATCAAGGATCAAATCTTCATAATTGCAAAGATTGGATGCAAACTTGTAAACCTAATTCACTCAAGGATACATATAGAACAAATTCAGACCAAAAGCACAGGGGTTAGAGGCGTGAGAAGATGAGGAAAAACTTGGAAAAACTCAAGAAAAGTAGCAATCTATTTTCATAGTTCCAGGCGCTTTGAAGCCATTGCAAGCACTCCTTTCACTTGCTGGGCATTCAAGGAGTCCATCCCAATCCTTAGCAAGCATTTTCGTGCACAAAAACTCACTGTAAGCGCCTCACGATACCCTTACCTTCTTGAAATCGAATCTCATGAATTTGGCATTTGTAGCATGAATTATTTATATATTCTTGTTCATTGAAACATTTGCAAGCTAATGGTAATGATCAATTGCGTTTTTGTTAGCCATACTGAGATCCACCATTGTTAGGGTTTAGGTTTCATTTTTAGGGGTTTTGATTGCAGGTAAAATTGGCCCAAAAGAGGGATGCCATGGTGCTCACAAGGTCAAGACGAATTGATTTGTACCTTTAGTTTTCGTTTATGATGCTTGTGTGAGATTTTGGAAATCACAGGGGCTATAGCTACAAACCGTGTCCATGGGTAAAAGTCTTGGACTTTTGCCAACGGAAGAAGGAAGAAGAAGGTGGCGTGGCAACACACAATGCGTCTATTCAAAAAATTTGTGCGCTGTACAATTGGCATTTTGTGTTTTTTAATATAATATTTGTTTATTGTTCCTTATACAAATAAACAACATGGCACAAATGGCAACAAAGTGATGGTTTGAAGCATGAGGACCTGGGTTCGATCCCAGGTCCTAACAAAATGCTATTTTCTTATTTTCTTGTTACAGGTTCAGTGCACCCTTGGCCCAAGCGTCTCACCATATACCCTCAACGTTCAATCATTAGATCTCCAGAAGGTCAGATCTAACGCTCATCCTTGAGGGTCTACCAAAGGCCTAGTCAAACGAGCAACATGGAATCAGGAAGGTCAACGTGGACCAAGGCTTTTGGGCTCATAAATTGCCATGGACACCCCTCAAATTGCTAGCATAACCAGGCCCAATTCTCTTTTCTTTTCTTTTATATTTTATTTTATTTATTTAAATTATTTTCTCACACAAATTTAATTATTTTTTTTACAAAAAAACTCATAAAAATCAATTTCAACAAATTTAGGTCTTTTTATATATTTTGTCAAAATTAATTTAATTAGTTTAATTTAATTTTAGGGTAACTTTAATTCTTTTGTAAATAAATTAAGACAAATTAGAAAATTAGGTTTTATTTGATTTTAACTTTTATTTTCTTTTCTCAAAATAACAAAAATACAAAAATAGGTCAAAATAATTTATTTTTCTTAATTAAAATTAATTAATAATTAGGTTTGTATTTATTTAATTAAAGCCTTATTTCTCTCAAAATAAAAATAAAAACAACCAAAAAATGGTTTTTTTTCTTTTAATTAGGTTTAGACGGGGTCAAAACCCTAATTTTTCTTATTCTCGATTCATCGTGTGTTTATTATTTTTTGCAAATATTAATTTAACTGCTTATGGGATGTAATAGTTTAATTAGGACTTTTTTCATTTATTTATCGTTTTTTTGGCTATGTAATTAACCCCCCTCCCCGAAGCCTTGTAATAACGTAGTTTTATTTCTCGCATTTTAATTTTCACAAATATTAACTGTTAGATGTATGATAATAGGATTGCATGACAAGAATGTATGTTAATTTTAAAATGGTTAGCAAACCCTAAATGTGCAAAGATAATAACTTGAAATCAAATCACTCGCACATGCGCACTCTTAGGGTATACCCTCACTTCGGTTGCCTTCGGTAAAACGATCATTAAGTATAAGGTGTTTTAGTGGTTGCTCTCTTGTCTAAACAAAGATCAAAAGTCCCGTTCGGAAATGTTGCCTCGGAAAGGTTGCCTCGGAAATGTTGCCTCGAATATGATCTTAAGACACTAGGGTTATTACTAAGACGTCCTAACATTGCTTTAGTGATCGTACGTCCCTTTCGAATTGACCCTTACAACTCAAACGATGGTGCTACCTACTCACTAATAGTAGGATAGCGTTGTCTAAAGGAAACAAGAACATAAACATTCTTTTTTCGAGTAGGTAGATGTTAGTAGGTACTTACTCAAAATCAAACTTTTTTCACACTTACACTTTTCAAACAAAATTTTCAAAAACACTTTGTAACACTCTTGAAGACAGAAGCAAGAGTTAAAACAAAGTCAAACAAAACTTTTCAAACCACACAAATATAGAAGCAATTTTAAAATGATGAGCAAGTACCTAAGAGCCCGTAGAAAACTACGGATAGAAAGGGTGCTAAGACCTTCCCTTTCTATAATCTACCCCTCCCCCCGTACTCAAAATCTCGAAAAAGGAATTTTTCTGTGCTTTTGTCCTTTCCAGTTGGATAAAATAAAAGTCGGTGGCGACTCTTGCTTACCGCAACATTTTGCAAACAAAAAAGTAAAACGCAAACCAGCATTTTCCTAAAACAGTCCGGTTCTGCCACCTATCACAGTATGGAAAGTGCATTAAGTGTCTATTATCACGTTTTAATTTGGACAGATTTCCATGCTTATATAAATAAGGTCAAAGGGTAAATCATTTACGATTTTTCCTCACGACTGCTACATACAATCTCAAAAAGCTGCAAACATTCATATTCATCCTATATTCAAATTGTGTAATACATCACAATAGTGATACAGTTTTTGTAATGAAAAACAAATAGTACATAGTAAATTTTTCTTTGATTAAGATATTTTCCTTGAGATAAACCGGGTTATGGTTATACTCAAGAAGACTTTGGCAGTTGTCAAAGTAAATTTGTAATCTGTTTGATTAGTGAATTAAGTCTTCATTGGAGAGAGGCGAAATCACCTTGGCGGATGGACTGAAGTAGTTTGAGATCAAGAGAACCAGGATAAAAATATTGAGTCTATTTCTTTTGATTTTTAAGTTTCAATTCAACCCCCCCCCCCTTTCTTGTGTTTTTCACTTCTTCAACTCCATGTAAATATACTCAACTAAACAATCACTATCAAAACTCATTAATCATCCTCATAACCGTACATGCCATCAACCACCACAACCTTCAACAAACCCACACATCCATCCATTCAACCCACCATAACTCCCATCAGAACACCGCTTACAACACACTTCCTCGTTCTCACTTCCTATGTTCGCGCAGATTCCTTTCACTAACATTAACTACTCACTCAACCGAACAGAAATGACTCACAACACATAATCCACAGAAAGTAGAAGAAGAGGTGGAGCATCAGGGGGAAAGGAAGAAGAGCGTACTTGGTTGTGTATTTTGTTTTTTGTTTCCGTTTTCATTCCGTGCATTTGACTGAATTGTTCTGTAACATGTAAACCCTCAGAATCATAATGAAGAGGGTTTGGTTTAATTGTGGGATGAGGGTATAGTTTTTGTATTACCTGCTTTGTGTTATTGTGTGTTGTTTCAGAAACCTTATTTGAAACTTGGTACCACCACCGATGAAAGCAACGGATAGACTAGCTCGATCTAGAATTCCAGATGTCGAGGCGTCTTTTTATTGCCTATTTGTTGTTAATATGTGTTGATTTTGATGCTTATACCATTGTTTTTGTGAGAGATTTCGAAGAGGTTTGGGATGGTTGGATTTCGTTGAAATTTGAAAGAAGGATGAAGATGAGAGGTTAGAGAGAGAGAGAGAGAGAGTCTTGTTTTGTTTTTGTGATGAACTTAGGAAATAGAGTTTTCAGCAATAATAATAATTAAATCTGCATTTTTCCTTCCCCATAAAACAACAATATTATTTAATTATGTGTTTTCCCTTTCCCAACACAACCAGCCGCGGCGCCTAAATTGTTAGGGTTACAAAACGTTTCCCTTTTCTTTCTCAAAACAGGGTCAGTCCATTGGACTTGTTGGCCCAATTTCCTCAACCGTTTTCCCTTATGTATTAATAGAATCATAACAATAACGAAAAAGTAATATAGATCAGTTGGCAAGGCATATCACTAATAACTCTAAAGGACTCGGGTTCTATCCTTGGTGGGGCTTTTTTTGTTTTTTTAGTTCTTTATGCTTTTTCCCAATTTCATTAATATACTTGATAACAATATTAACTTAGTTTATTTTATATATAATTATTTCATGATAAAAATACAAAACATGCTAATAAATTATCTTTTATTTAATTCTTGTTTATTCAAAAACATATTATCAAATTAGCCTTTATTTAATTTTGATGTTTATTAGTTATTCCAATACATGCTAATCTTTTATTTAATTTTTGTTTAAATACATGCTTATAAATTAATCTTTTATTTAATTTTTGTTTGAAAATACATATTAGTATAATTTAGGCAAAATACTCATTTTGGTCCCTTAACTATACCCTTCGGTTCACATTGGTCCCTTAACTTTTTTTCGTGTCATTTTGGTCCCTTAACTTTCAAAAAGTTTCATTTTAGTCCTTTTTGTCTAATTAGCGACGGAAAAACTTTGAAATACGTCGCTAAATCTGTCGCTAATTAGACAAAAAGGACTAAAATGAAACATTTTGAAAGTTAAGGGACCAAAATGACCCGAAAAAAAATTAAGGGACCAATGTGAACCCAAGGGTATAGTTAAGGGACCAAAATGAGTATTTTGCCAATAATTTAATTTTCGTTATTTATTTAATTGTTCAGTTATCGCTCTAATTAACTTTATTATCAATCGTTTAATCTTCTTCTTCAACATCATGAGCTACTTCTTCTTCTTCAACATTATTTCCATCATGAGCTACTTCATCTTCTTCAACATTATTTCCAACATGAACTGCTTCATCTTCTTCAACATTATTTCTAACATGAGTTACTTCATCTTCTTCATCATTATTTCTAACATCAACTAATACATCTTCTTCAACATTAACTTCATCCATGCCTTTAACATTATGCTCAACATATATGTGTACCATGAAGTCAACCTCAACAACATATTTATAAACCTCATGAGCATCACTATCATTAACCATTCTACTGTACCTATCTGCATCATTATTATACCACTATAACCAATATTATGATGATCAAGCTGAGTAATATCTTTCGCAATACCAGTAGCTTCAAAGAAGCTCCACCTATAAGAATCAATGTCTAATACTTGTTCATTACCCCTTTATAATATACTACATAGTCCCTAACAATGTTACCCCCATAATGAAAACTCAAAGTAAAACTCATCCTTGGATATTTCAACAACACATAACGAAAAGAATGCATATTGAATAAAACCTGGTTAATCAAAGAATGTTGTTCTTGAATCAATCGTCTTCATCAGTTATGTACCACAACGAAACGTTCGTCCTCTTCCTCATGCAATCACCTTCCACACTGAGCTTTTTCTATTTTGAAACCCTAATTTTGCAAGGACTCAATATAAAAAAGATTTTGGACATTTTTTTTGCTGGAAAACTCTCATTTCCACGTAATATTAGAGTATTAGAAGAGGAAAATATAAAATTAATTCCATATCATCATCGTTTGCCACATCATTTTTTAACAAAAATTTAACACGAGGGACTAATGGCAAAAGAAAAAGAATTGTTAGGGACTCCATAAAAAAAGGTATATGGACTAAAACAAAAACCGCGACAACTTACAAGGATCAAAAAATTATTTAAGTCATAAACCAACTCAAGTGCACTTGAATACATGGCAGATCAACGTGAATGAGAAGTTACAAAATCAACTAATAAATCCCTTCTTGAAAACACAAACCAACTCAAGTACACTTGAATACACTATAAGCGGTGTCATGCTTTAACTAGTCACCTTACATCACACATCAGAAAGGAGTAACGAAATATTTCGATGATGGAAAGGCATTCAACGCACTTGTTCCCCCATCACACGAGATAACCAATATACACTTTTACTACATTCATCTTCAATTCTGAATTGACTTAGACATTGAAATACTAACTTTACTGGTCCACCATCCTATGTCATGGTATCGGAGATCAAAATCAGTCCTACCATTAACATACACCTAATTCTGATTTCTAAATGGAACACATTTCTAGTGGAATTTAAAATTTAGTTTAAAATTTACAAAGTCAAACTTACTTTATTTTGTCAAAACAAATAAAAACATTATGGATTAGAATGATCCTATTTTAGAATATTTCAAGCCATAGGAATCCAAAATGAATATAGTCCGAATTCTGAAGGAGATTCGTTTTTGGTATGACCTACCTGAGAAAAAGGCAGATAGATAATAAAAAGCTTGGTTATTCCAAATTTATTTGTATCACCACTTAAGCAATATGGACAGTGATCAAGATATCAAGGAACTTCTAAGTATCCCCTTGAACTTTACTACTAACATTATTTTGCTTTTCTTTTTTTTCCATGCGAACAACTAATTCATTGACTTTCAGTTACAAAGACCGACGCATCCAGATCCGACGACGAGAACTCTCCGATCGACCAGGTAGCACTCACAGTTCCGGTAACCGACGACGAGAACTCTCCGATCGAGCAAGTAGCACTCACAGTTCCGGTAACCGACGACGAGAACTCTCCGATCGAGCAAGTAGCACTCACAGTTCCGGTAACCGACGATCCATCCCTACCGGTCTTCACTTTCCGAACATGGACATTAGGAACTCTCGCCTGCTTTTTCCTCTCATTCTTGAACCAATTCTTTGGCTTCCGCCGGGAGCCTCTTTCAGTCACGGCTATCTCAGCACAGATTGCGGTGGTTCCCTTGGGTCACCTGATGGCGGCGACGCTGACGGACAGAGTTTTCATGATAGGGAAGAAGTGGGAGTTCACGTTGAATCCCGGCAAATTCAACGTGAAGGAGCACGTGCTTATTACGATTTTCGCTAGTTCGGGTGCTGCTAGTGTTTACGCTATTCATTTCGTTAGCGCTATTAAGGTTTTTTACAGGAAGGAGATAACGGTGTTGGTTGCGTTGTTGGTTGTTTTAACGACGCAGGTTTTGGGCTTTGGTTGGGCCGGGGTTTTCCGTCGTTACTTGGTGGAGCCCGCTGCTATGTGGTGGCCGCAAAATCTCGTCCAAGTATCGCTCTTCAGGTATCTTATCTTTTTTTCTTCTTCTTTTCTTCTTTATTCAAAACATAATCAACTTGATTTGATTTCAGGGCACTGCACGAAACAGAGGAGAGACAAAAGGGAGGGTTAACACGAAACCAGTTCTTCCTTATAACATTTATTTGCAGTTTTGCATATTATGTGTTTCCAGGCTACTTGTTCCCAATGCTAACATCACTCTCTTGGGTATGTTGGGTGTTTCCCAATTCAGTTATAGCACACCAGTTAGGTTCAGGGTTAAATGGTCTTGGACTTGGAGCTGTTGGATTTGATTGGTCCAGTATATGTTCTTATCTTGGTACCCCTTTGGCTAGTCCATGGTTTGCTACTGCTAACATTGCTGCTGGTTTTGCCATTTTCATGTATCTCATTGTTCCTACTGCTTATACCCTTAATCTTTACCATGCAAGAAGATTTCCCATCTTTTCAGATGGCTTGTTCAGCTCTGATGGTCAAAAATATAACATCTCGGCTATTACTGACTCTAACTTCCACCTTGATTTGGAAGCTTATCAACGCCAGGGCCCTCTTTATCTTAGCACCATGTTTGCTATGTCATATGGTATTGGTTTTGCTTGCCTTTCTGCAACTCTTGTTCATGTATTGCTTTTCCATGGAAGGTATGCAATAAATTAGAGTTTAATTGAAATTCTATGCATGCCACTGTATACAATTGTAGTTCTAAACCAGTTACGCTGCAAGCCATAATATTGCAGCATAATGAGGCTGATGCAGATGCAATTGCTGCCATCATTAATGATGACAATGTGGAAATTTTAAAACTTTTATATTTAACCTACAATTGCATTTGTAGACCATACTTAAGAACTAAAAACATGATTCTAGTTGTAAATTGTCCTTGTGGCTAAACTGCAAACCTTGATATTGCAGTAAAATACGGCTGACACAGATGCAATAGCTGTCGCGATGCTACTGCAGGGATTTCAAAAATCCTTATATTGCTGTTGCAAATTGCAATTGCATTTTCACACCGCAATTTAAAAATTTAGAACCATATGCATGATCATAGTTATAAATTTGTGGTTGCGGTTACACTATAAACCTTGATATTGCAGCAAAATGCACAAAACACAGTTGCAATTGCTGCTGTGATACCATTGCTGAGATTGCTAAGATATTGCAGTTGCAATTGTAGTTGGGGATCGCAATTGATCAATACATGTGTTCTCTGTGCAGCGATATATTGCAGCTGAGTAAGTCTGCGTTTCAAGGGAAGAAGATAGATATACACACGAAGATCATGAGAAAAAATTATAAACAAGTTCCTGAATGGTGGTTTTTATGCATTCTTTTGTTCAGCATTACGGCAGCTACATTTGTGTGTGAGTATTACAACGATCAACTCCAGCTACCATGGTGGGGTGTGATGTTAGCATGTGTTGTTGCTGTATCGTTTACTCTTCCTGTTGGAATAATCAGAGCTACGACAAATCAGGCACCTGCTTTGAATGTGATAACAGAGTACATAATTGGATACATCTACCCTGGTTATCCTATTGCAGTCATGTTGTTTAAAGTGTATGGGAACATGAGTATGAAACAGGCCATTTTCTTTTTGCAAGATTTTAAGCTTGGCCATTACATGAAGATTCCTCCTAGAGCAATGTTCTTGGCACAGGTTTGCACAACACTCTCTTTACATGAGTTGATTTGGTTCTTATGTTGTATTGATCTAAACTGTCTTGTAATCTACTAAACACAAACACCCAACACATATCTTGTAATCTATGAAATAATAAAATTTAACATGTATAAGTGTCGTATTAGTGTAGGTCGTGGCCAACGCTAGACAAACATGCATTCTATCTAAGTTGTCTTGTAATTTATGAAGCATTGACTCAAACACAGATTCGGGCATCAGAAACAATACTGAAATCAAGTAGTAATTTTGATTCCCTTGCTTAATAACACTATTTCCTCTGGCAGGTACTGGGCACAATAATAGCTGCAATTGTGCATCTATTAACAGCATGGTGGCTAATAGAAACAGTTCCAAATATATGCCATAGGGAATTGCTTCCACCAGGAAGCCCATGGACTTGCCCAGGTGATCATGTATTCTATGATGCATCTGTCATATGGGGTTTGATAGGGCCTCGCAGAATATTTGGAAATCTAGGACACTACTCGGCCATCAACTGGTTTTTCTTGGCTGGTGCTATTGCTCCTTTAGTTGTTTGGCTAGCACACAAAGCCTTCCCTGATAAACCATGGATTAAACTTATTACTATGCCTGTACTGTTAGGAGCATTATCCGAAATGCCTCCAGCTACACCAGTTAACTACACTAGTTGGGTTCTTGTTGGATTTGCCTCAGGATTTGTTGCTTACCGTTACTATCGTGGTTGGTGGACCCGTCATAACTATCTCTTGTCTGGAGCACTTGATGCTGGATTAGCCTTCATGGGAGTTTTTCTTTACTTGTGTTTGGGGATGCAGCATATCAGCCTAGATTGGTGGGGTAGTAACTCAGATAGATGTCCTTTAGCTTCATGTCCATCTGATTCAGGTGTCATATCTAAAGGGTGTCCTATTTTTTGAGTATGAAGAAATGTAGTTGTAGAATTACCTGAGATACACATAAATGTCACATAGCTCTTCATTCTTCACTATGTACAGGAATTGTATTGATTTTTGTAAAATATCTGATTTGATTGTGAAAGTTGTTGTAAAGTTTGCATTCACTGAATAATAAGATAAATTTGGATACTCCCATAAAATATCTTCATGATGATGTGCCTGTCTTTGAAGTTCCCTTGATCCTAAAAGTCAACATTAAGAATGGAATGAATCATTTCTAGAGGCCTTTTTCAAGCTATGATCATATGTTCAATATATTTAAGTCAGTATGATATTGTTGCAAAAAATCCGCTGGATTGAAATTATGCTGCTCACAAATTTGGACAGTTTATTTTTCATTTTTTTCAACTAATAAACATAAAAGAATATTGATCTAATAGTAATTGAGATCATGAATACGTGAATATGAGAGTTAAATGACTGCCGTGAATCCACTAGTCCGGTGAAATTGTATGAAAATCATGTAAAAAACTTGAAGTTTAATTTGTGAATTTGATTAATTGTTTTTTTTAATGAAGAGCTATTTTAAATTTTAATCTTGTAAAAAATCGACGAAATTTAATTCAATCTTTTAAAAAAGTAAAAACAATTTTTAATGCTTGAAAAAAATAGACCGGGAAAATTTATATATTTTTTATTTAGTTTATGAAAGAAATAAACGGAAAAGTGAAAGAAAATAAGTTAAAATTAAAAAATGAATAGAAAACATGTAAGTTTGGTATTGAAAAAAATTAAAGGAAAAAATGAGAGAAAATAAATGTGTATTGATAAATTAAAAATTAGAATTCCATTACACTAAATTTAAATGCGGTTTTGGTCTCTCATATATTGATTTTAGTCTTAAATGTATTTTTTGTCTTTCTATTTTGTTTTTTTTATCCTCTTATTTTAAAAATCATGTTTTTAGTCTATTTTTTAAATTTTATTTTAAATTTTAGTTTCCATTTAAATTGAGACTATTCTTTAATGAGATAATGCTGTTTGTGATGAGCTGTCAGTTCAACGTTAGAACTATCATTTTATTTTAAAATTATTTAATTAAATTGAATTTATTATATCATTTATATAATTATTAGTTCCTCTGGCTTATATTTTAAGAGAAATTTATTTTTTAGATTTATTGAATAATTAATGTAACTGGTCTATATATATAGATCATATACATTAATTATTCAATGAATCTAAAAAGTGAATTTCTCTTATAATATGAGACAGATGGAGTATTCCATAAGACTTAATTCATTATTTCATTTATTCTTTAAGTGAGTTTTATAAAACCTGGAGGAAGAAGGTCATTTAACGACGAATATCCCATACAAAGACGAACTCTAAATCCCCGTGCTCATCATCTTCTATAAGCAAATAAGTGAATCTTGTTCGCAAATTTGTGCTCGTTGATCGTGTTTCTGTTATCTGAAATGTCAAACCCAATGTTTGTTTCGAAGTATGTACATTTTACATTGTTTTAATGTTTCGAGTGTTTCAGAGTTTCAATTGCAAGCGCTGGGTTTATGTTTCAGTGCTGTAAGCTTATGCACATGTTTGAGATCTGTTGTGGTCCAAGTTTGCAGTTTTGTTTCATTTTGTTGTCCCAGGTTTCATGTTAGTGATTTCTTTATGTTTCAGTTTGGAAACTATTGTGGTCTCTGTTTGTTGTTTTGTGACATTTTGTGGCCCTTGAACTTAGAACGTGTTGTGGTCCTGTTTTGCTAATTGTTGTGGTCATTGTGTTGTTAAATTTGTAGGCCTTCTGATACCTAAGTTGTCAGACTTAAAGTACACCGTTAGGGACATTTCATTAATCATTCAGTGAAGTTGTACGTGGGTGGGCTGGTTTCAGAATTGAATTGAGATTGGGATGTGGAGAGAGTGATTCCTAAAGGTGACAATAAAAAGACGGAAAAAAGGCGACATGTCAGACAAAGGGGCAGGACAATCGGTTATTGAAGGAGGTTCACAAACACCGCTACTAACCCAAGAATAGTTTATGTTTATGTTAATGTGTTTTAAAGTTTATGTAATGACCAAAACAATTAAGGTTAATGTTTCTTGTTATGTGTTTTGAAGTTTGTTTAATGACCAAAAAATTTGAGGTCATCTGTTTTGAAACTTATGTAATGATCAGATACTTGGGGTCTCTACCTTTATGAAATGAAATAAAATGATGTTCTTGTTTTGTTATGTTAATGTTCATGAAATTTATCAACATACAATAATTTATCAGTATTTAAAACTTATGTTAATGTTCTGTTCTTGTTCTATATATGATAATTGTATAAACAATTATGATACAATATATAGAAAAATGTAACATAGTAGAAATAATTGTATAACAGATCAAATATGATGATTTTATTAATCCAAAACACTCTTAATATATCAGGTCGTTCTTAACACATCAGGACATTCATAATATCTCTTAACCATAACACTCGGAATTTAAATACATGTGTTGCAACCAGAGCAAAAACAAGCAACAATACAAAAACCATTTAGAAACTAAGAAAATATCCCATTAATTTGATCTTCATCTTCACCGACTCATCTTTTTCCTAAAGTTGCTAATTAAATCCATAAGCTCATTATTTTGGTCTTTCAAAGATCTGATCACATCCTTTGCACGACTGCTCATTTCTTCATCAACCCATTCAAAATAATTACATCCTTTTTTCTTCATCCCCCTAAAATTACCACAACCATAATACCTTCTTCTGGGATTTGCATAAGTCTAAGATGTCATCAATGGTGACTCAAGATCACACCAACATCTATTCCTCCATCTTCTTGAACCATACTGATTTGTTGTAAAAAAATTGGACCTTGATTCATACATGGGTAGGAAAGAAAAGAGATGAACCGGCCGGACAATATGAGAAGAAGAAGCGAACAAGATGAGTTGTTACAAATCTAGAGATTTGTGTTACGGTTCTTCGTAAGCCATTTTCAATGTCTGGGGCGAGTTCAATTTCAGGGTTCTTCGTGGGAAGAGTTGTTTTTCTGAGAATATATGTCACATAATATAGGTTACTAAATTAAATTTAATAAAACAATAGTAAGATTGATGAATTAATAATAAGGCTACTAAATAAAATAAAATAAAAAATGTTTATTCTGACGTGAAGATCATTAAAACATGTCAGCTCAATAAAAACTGCGTCACGTTACTGAAAATAAGCACCAAATTGAATGAGAGACTAAATTCTAACACAAAACTTCAACACCAAATTCGTGCTTCTTAAAATAGGGGGATCAAAAAAAAAATGGGGGCCAAAAGTGCATTTAAGCCTTGATTTTAATAAATTTTTAGTCCTTTTATAAATATCAACTTTTTAATCCCTTTTTATCATATTTTATGTTTTTTTTTAATTTTCCTTCACATAGATGTGACATCTCAACTTATGATTTGACAAGTTTTTAATATTGTCACGTCATTAAAATAAAAAGTTTATTTATTTTTAACATGATGTCAAATCAATTGATTAATTTGTTATTTAAAAGTAAAATGTCGTATTTCTTAATATAATTAGAATGTGAAACAGTTCCTTTGCATCTTCTTCATCGTATGTCATCTTCTTTCTCCTCTTTTTGAAATCCTAACAAGCTTTGGTTTGTCGTTTCTATAATCCTTATCATTAATGTGACATGTCTTTTGCTTAACTTGCACTACTGCTAATTTTGCCATTACACTTATTTGTCAAATGTTGAATTAAGATGAAGATGTACTAAATTTTTTATCAATTTATAATCAAATTTTGTAACCAAAATTTAACAGTTTGCACACAACATTATGATGCAATCCAAAGGTTTATCAGGTAAATCTTATCTATCTGTATTCAAAAGTTTGTAATCAAAAGTATATCAGTTTGTAACAAAATATTTTAACCAAATGACAGTACCAATTTGACAGTACCAATATGAGAGTACCGGTTTGTATTCAATATCAGTTTGATAGAACAAAGTTTGTATCCAATATCAGTTTGATAGTTTGTAATAGTTTGTATTTAATGCCAGTTTGTCAGTTTGTAACAATTTGTATTCAATGTCTGTTTATAACTAAATTTTGTAACCAAATGACAGTAAAAAAATTTGTAACATAAAGATGAAATATCAAGTACCAACATAGCATTGCATCAAAATATCAAGTACAAATTTTTGTTCATGACAAAATTTGTTCATTACAAACTTGTTGCATGACAAAAACAAACATTACAGAAACAAAACATTACAAACTTGTTCATAGGCATATCAAAATAAATTGCGGCAAGACATATATTATTGCGTCATATAAGCAAATATTACACATTATTTTTTGACATTCCAAAGTTATTCTAAAAACATGAAATGTGATAAAAGGAGACCAAAAAACATGAAATGTGATAAGAGGAGACTAAAAAGCTGTATTTTTAAAAAGGAACTAAAAAGTTATCAAAATTAGTATAAGAGGTAAAACTGCATTTAAGCCAAATTATTAATTGAGGTTGGTGATATTTTATAGTTAGACTAAATGATTGTGAGTTTCTAGTACTGGATTCAACATCTAGCAGGCTTGGCTAGGAGGGTAGGATCCCCATCCATGCCCCCACCTGAGGCTTGGCTCAGATCCAGCTGGGCATCTCTAGGCTCCAACGCCTAACACCTTTGGATTGGCTAGATCTGAGAAGGGGTGCACCATCTACAAAGAAATGTGTTTAAGCTATATTAGATACGCAGTGTAATCTATATCGAACACACATAAGTGCATAATTATTTATCTTTGCAGAAAAGCATTTAAGTCGTATCAGATACACATAAATACATGTAATATGTATTGTACACGCATACATGTATGTATTCTTTGTCTTTGTATAAACATGTTTAAGTCGTATAGGTATGCAGAAATGCGTGTAATCTGCATCAAACACGCATAAGTGCGAGTATTCTTTGTCTCCCCTGCCTTATTCACTCTAAAAGAGAGATAAACA